GTCTGGACTGTTAAACCAGGTAAGTGACCAACACAGTTAATCTTATATCAGTTTATCGTGGTCACTTACCTGTGTTTCCTCCCTAGAGTGTCTGAGATTGGGCGGTGCCCCGCCCGCACCCCCCACCTGCCTGCAGTGTCCGCAAGCCACAGCTCCGCTTTTGTTTTGTTTTATTTAATAAACGTTTGAACTTTCCTGCTGACTGTCTCTCCTTGAATACTGGGTCCATCTGTCCTCGGTTCCCGACATATATATATATAGCTGACATATGAATTATGTCACACTATTTCTTTTTTTGAAAAAAGATTCAGTCTATATCATGTTTTAAATTCCATTTAACAATGAGTTAACAGAGTTTGGCACCTGATCAGAATCCATGAGATATAAAAACTCTTTGCCATTTTGTTATCTCTTCATGCCTCCCAATCATTGTCTTGGTAGCTTGGCCAGACCAATCACAGTACAGGAGGCAGGACTTTACGATGTGTGGCTCTGAGCGCCATAATTACCCATAATGCAGCAGTGCTTTTCTGCTGGCATAGCAACAAGGTAGCAACTGCGATGAAGCATTATTGCTATAAAAATTAAGAACGCACTGGAGAGGACTGATTATATTCTAAGATTTTAAGGCAAAGCCGACAAATCATTTACTGAGAGTTTCTACAACTGCTTGATAGGTTTCATGGACTACAAAATGACAAAAACAAGGGAACATTGTTAGGGGTTTTTGGGTCACATCGGTAGTTATCTGATGCACTTCTCAATGCAAATTAATATCAAATCAGTCTCTAAAACAGGTAAAACCCCTCTTAATAAAACCTGTGAGTGAAACATCGAGACCTGCAGGAACAGAGCTTTGCTCCTGAAAATTTTCTTCTAAACTTTTGCAGATTATTGGGCAGAATTGGAACAATTTCACAGAGCTTGTTGTAACTGGTACTGATGTCAATGTACAGACTGCTTTTCTTATACCTTGTATTTTCTAAAAAAAAACTTTGCAATGTCATTGCAGGCCTTTTCAGATTGGAGTTCATCATTCACAGAGATAGGAGGGTTTGTTAACCTGTTGACTGTGGTAAATAATTGTTGAATGTTTGTGTTAATCTCAGAGATGAAAGACCCTCTAGCACATTTTAGTTGTAAATTATTTCAATTAAGTTTTTCTTTATAGATTTTATAGTGAACTTGGAGTCCATTCTTTTGCCACCTTGGTTCAGTTTTTCGGCACTTCCCCTTTTCATTTCTCACTGCTAGAGCAATTCTCCATGGAAATTCCATCTTCCAAGAGACAACTTTAACTGGAGCAAAGGAATCAGTGGAATCTGAAACCTTAGAACGGGAACTATCAACCAGATAATCTACTGAGTTACAGGGTAAAGTGGAAGCAGGAGAGTAGCCTGAGTAATGTTATTTGTTTTACTGTTGATGATAACACGCTTTCTTATAACATTTCTTTTGGTAATTAAATCAGTGGATAAAATGGTTTCAAAGTAAACAGAAAAAATTTCTGATGGTGCAGCATCAGTTACAGAAACATTAGAAATATTTAGACATTTGTGTCATGATTGGTTTAAGTGAACTGACATTAGAAATATTTAGACACTTGTGTCATGATTGGTTTAAGTGATCTGACCCACATGCAGAGAACCACTCAGAGACCAAGGGAAAAAATTTAACAGGCTTATTAAATGTAGATGAATAAAAGAATTTTGATCTGGAACTCAGTGGACTGGTGAACCGGAACTGGAAAGTCTGAAGGGGAGATCACAGTGATCAGTTCAGGGAACGTAGAAAATTTGACTGAGGCTTGAATATTACTGGAGAGGGACTCACGTTTGAGGGGGCTCTTGTCAATCATTGAATCCAGCTTGTGGGGCTTAATCCAGAGAAGAGGGAGCTCGTTGGAGGGCAGACAGATAGACAAGCGTTGGACCCAGAGGAGTAAAGGAGCGGACTGTCACTTGGATTTTCGAAGACGGCTTGAACGGATCATGTGGAAGTTTTCCCCTGCTCAGTGTGTTCTCAGTTAATCCGTCCAGGGGGAGAAGGTCCAGGTATCCAGTTACTCAGGAAGGCTTCCTGCCAAAGAGCAAAGGCAAAAACTAGATAAGTCTCAGAGGAACAAAGCTTAGGTTAGACTCAGCTAATCTCAGCTTGGTTAGAGTACCCAAAACTGGCAAACACTCTGGCGTCGAGGTAGTGACAGCCCACTGCTCAAATACTCCTCCAGTAATGGTCCAACGAGCCGCAGGTGTGCAGGGAGATGCAACGAGGACAGGGCACCACCAGGTGGTGGAGAGAGAAAAACACACAAACAACCCACACAAACTGGATTCCTAACACTTTGCTGATGACCAGATCCAAAATATGTCCTCATCCTGTTTGTTGGTGTTTTAGGAGTGAACACTACACTACAAAGCAATGATTTATGTGACTGTATTTTCTTATCACCTTATCAACCATTTGGGCTGTTCCAAGAACTAGTGTTCCAAGGCCTCAGCAGAGGGAGGAGAAATTAGAATATGCTCAATAGGAAGTGTAGAGCAATAAAAAGGCAAACAGATAACTTGGGTGTCCAAGCCAAATCCATCAGAATTACCTTCAACAGGTAAAAGTAAAATCCTCTAGATCGTGTCTGAGCCAAAGTCAACAATTGATTACTTAATCATCTAAAGTATATATTTTAACTTCAGCTTTTATTTTTACTTTTCTGTCTCTGTCCTGGGGGTGCACCACCCCTTAATGGTGACCCCATAGGACCAGGAGGCCTAGGCCCCGCCCGGCTGCCACCAGGAATAAAACGGCGCCCACTAAAGTACCCAAACCTGCACCTAGAGATCCATCAGCACGCCAGCAGACACAGGCACCTGTCACTGGCAAGGAGCATAAGTGGGGGGAGGAGATGGGTTATTCTCATAATTGTGGCCTACAGCTTTCAGCAGGTGGTGCTAGGGAGACAAACACTCAACCTAACAAGTAGACAAAGACAAATTCATATTTATCCGGGTCACATTCACACAATCCAACCCTTACACCCATACAAACCCTCAACGGAGACTCACACAAGGGCAGACACTAAACATATTCTTACTGTCCTCATACATACATTATCTTCCTGGGTCTGTGGGTCTGCTCTCCCTAGGTGGAGACCCAGGAGGAGATCCCCAGACCCCTCAGTGTGGGAAGGGGGCGGGAATGGGGAGCCACCATCTTTAGAGTTTTTCAAGCTGTGAACTCTGGCACTTGGTGCTCGGTCAAAGTGGTGTGAGACAGAGTAGTGGTGGGTTTCTTCTATTTTGCAACATTTTAAACCACTTAGCTCCACTAAGATATCTATTTGTTTCTCCCTGTCTGTGGCACTACTTTGACTTTGAACATCTTTATTTTCAAAGATATTTGGTTTTAACTCATAATTTGGAGATTTTGTGTCCTGCTGATTCAGAGTCTGCTGGCATTGTTCATCGCATAGCTCCTCAGAAAGGGGCGTCAAACACCTTTTGTCCAAATGCCTTGTCACTCTGGCCTTGTTGGTATTTGATCTCTCCGGCTTCTAATGTTATCTCAGCTCCCGACAATAAAATGTTAATGTTGTGATTTGAATGTTCAATGCACATTAAGAGTGGATGCCACATTAATGTTGTGGATTTATATTCTATTCAATTCCCAGCCAGCTGAGAATTTATATTTATGATACTTTAAAATGTTTATTGCCCTCCCCAGTAGGGATGGTACTTATCTTATTTAATCAGATAACATTTCAGCTGTTATAGATTGTTTATGAACACACGCCCTACTAGCTGTGTGTCAGAAAAATAAATGAAAGAGTGATTCGAGCACTAATTATGGTCAAGCAGTTAATTCTGGACATACATGAAATAAATTCACCACAACTTCTGTTGAAAATATAAGAGTTTATCAACAAAAGGTTTATTAACATTCAGCTCCATGTCAAACATATTTCAGTTAACTCTCTTAACTAAAACTACTGAAACTCAACTAAACTAAACTACTATGTACAAAGAGGAAGGGGAAACGTGGTTGAAAACCATATTACAGTTTAAGATGGATCTTGTGTTGAAAACCAAAATTTATCTGGAAGAATTTGGTATATGATCAAATTAGCTTTTCACAAATTTAGAGAATTTGGAATGTTCACAATTCACTTACTGAGGTATCGGTAGTTTAAGGTTGTGATCCACCTGTTTTATATGCTTTACTATCTGCTTTTATCATGTTTTTATCTTGACCTACTTCTATGGTTGTTCTATGTTCCTTCTATTTTATTGATTAATTTATGTAATGCATTTTGAATTGTTCTGAATCGGTTGCACTGTATAAAAAAACTTGCCTTGCCTTGATGTGTAATGAGGGTCAACTCAGATGTAATTCCTGCAATCCTGAAATTAGTTTCAAATATTCATGCTGTGGTTAAAATAAAAAAAGAAGACACTCAACTAACAAGCTGACGCTGAACTCAGTGATCTTCACTCAATCAGCATTTTATTAATTATTGCAAGAACAGTTTATAGAAGAAGTGACCCACTAGGTATTCCATCTTTGATCCATCCATCTCAGGGAAATACTTTTTTTAAATACAAAAAGTTATACCTTGTTAAGTTTCTCAAAGAATTAACAGGGTTGGTCATAAAAAGGCCTTAGCTGTGCCAAAAAAAAAAGATCCAGAAGACAAAAAAAAAGCAGAACTAAGAACATACATAGTATATATAAAAGAGGCAAAGTAGCAATATTCAGTGGAATGATTCTATTTCTTTTTTTAAGTATTTTTTCTTTTTTAGGGGGGCAGGGGTTGACAAACCTAAAATTGCAGCACAAAGTACAAGGTTTATACAAGCAATTGCATTTATGAAACAGAACTAAGAGTGATATAATTGTTTTACAAAAATGTATTAAAGGTCCTATATTATCAACAATTGAAAAAAAAAAAAAAAAAAAAAAAACAATGAGAATCCCAAAGCCTGTTTTTGCTAGATAATTGCTCTCACATTAGGCAGACAGCCTTTAGCTAAAATGTCTTTGTTAGGCCTTCCTCTGGATGAGCTGTTTTGGCATCCAGTCAAAGTTCGTACACATAGGGAGCGTTGAATAATTCCTTAGATGAAGGCAGTAGCTTGAGGAAATGGCAGCTACAGACCACTCTGGACAGCTTATTTCCCCTTATGACATCACAAGGGGAATGTTATTCAAACAGCACATTTTGACCAAACATTGCCTAAGAGGTGGATAAAGGCAATGAAAGAGGTGAAAAGGTTTTTTTTCATTTTCTGAATCTCATACACAGGCTTCAGTACACATATGACGGTTAAATGTTTAAAATGTTAATGTTGCATAATATAGGACCTTTTAACAATAAACATAAAAATACAATATTGTTATAGGTTTAACATTAGATAAAAATTTGCACATAATTTGTCAGAACAGGACAGATTCACCTTTCCTGACAAATGTGTTGAGTTATGTGCATTAAAGGGAAAGGGAAATACGGTATATAAAAGCCAGCAAATTAAAATAAGTCTTAAGCTGCGGCCTCTCTAATGTGCAGTGGAAGGCTACTTCGCAAATAAGGAGCAGTGACAGAGAAGTCATCATGAAGTTACAGGTCAGGTTACACTTTAGCCTGAGTTATAAGAATCTCTGTAAAAATCAGCTGTGTCATTTTAAATCACAGATCCTGATGCAGGATTTGTCATCCAGCCAGAATCCTGGATACAGCGGCTCTGTGAAATTGGCCTTCAGTTTGTACAGAAATGTCATGCTGTCCGACACCTCAAAGAAGGACAGACTTCCCTCCTTGAATTCTAGATAAACACCTATTTTTTTACTGCTGGGACTTTGTTTGAGGAGGATGCTCTCTGATTTGTGGCTCACAGAGTAGGAATTAGAGAGATCTAGACTCCAGGACTTTTCGTTGGCTCCAAAAGCTGACTTTTCTGTACTACTTTTCCTATCCAACCCTTTGTAAGCAAGAGCGATCTCTGCCTTGCCTCCCTTGACCTCCACTTCATAGTAGCAGCGCTCAGCCTGCAGACCCTCCCTGCACAGCACCTGGCGTCGACTGTTGAACCTCTCTGGAAAACATGCAGATGGGATTTGGCACCCACGGGGGGACAGCTTCACCTCTTTGTCATTATCAGAGATGATCAGGTCCTTATGAGCTGTTGCAGGGTCCAGAGAGAGCTCACAGGCATCTGGGTAATGAAAGAGAGGAAAATGATGAAGTTTCAGGAACAGAAAGTCAGGAGAGCACAATTAGATCTGAGGATGAACTCACACTGTAGAAAATCTTCTCTGGTTTTAGGCTCCATGTCCTTCTTACCCATGTTGCCTGAGTTGAGGCATTGCACAACATGATTATTGGCTGCATGCTGCCCTCTTGTGTTGAACAGTACATTGCAAAAAGAAAACAGGAAAGTTTACAGACCAGCACTAGATTGATGTTTCTGCTGCTGATCCTCTGCATCCCTCTTTTCCACTGATTCCTCTTGGTCATTATTGCCTTTTGACAGAGAAACAGTGATCAGTTTGTCAAATACATGGATTTTACATATATATATATATTCTATATTAACAGCACATACAAGTTTGAAAGATTAAGGGAAGTTGTTGGTCACAGAAGTCTCCCAGCTTCTCTCCAAGCTGATCTATTGCTCTCTTTGTAACTTTAAAAGAGAAAAGTGGATCCTTTGATCCCTCACTGAAGGAGAGAAGGTCTTTCTCACATATGCTTTGCATATTGCTCCATTTCTGGGGAAAGGAACAGGTTTTAATGCAGAGGGGGGTTACAACAACAACACAGGTGAACGTCTCACCAATGCAAATTACTTTACCTGCAGAAAAAGCACGCTGTTTTCACTCTCTGCAAGGCGATCAAGCTCAGCATCCATCTTTTTAATTTCCTCCATCTTTGTCTCAAGGTTTTGAAGCGTGATGTCGATCTGATCTTCCACTGTCTTTGCTTGAGTTTCAATCATCTCCCTCATAGACATGCAATGTCTCTGAAGATGATCAATGGCTCTAACTATGATCGTTTCACAGTCCTCCATAATTTTGTTGGCCTCCTTCTGTTTTAAACCCAGCAGAACAGGATTAGTGTCCCTTATGAGCTGGGAGCGTGTAAACACAATGAAGCAACAGGGTTTCCTCACCTCAATTTGCTTAAACTTCTTCTTCATATTCTCCTGCTGCTTCTGCTGCTCCTGAAGTCTCTCCCTCAGCCTTGTTTGCATGGTTCTCAGCTCCTCCTTGGAGCATACAGAATAAAAAAGCCTTTATTTACACCAAAAACATTTTTTCCCCAATGTATAATGGTTTGTCTTTCCACCAATCAGTCTGCACATTCATTAAATTATGTTTTCATTTTTTCTCTTTGAATTCATGTTTTTGGTCTTTGTTTTGTTTTCTTATAAAAGACAAGTCAGACCTCTGTGCATATGGATCATATAGGCAGCTGCACAGGGTGCCCATATGTAACTCATGTAATCAGTGTAAAGTTGCAATTTCAATTAAATAAACTATTCAGTTCGAGATTGAATAACTTTAAACTCAGGTTAAAACACTGAGCTACACTAAGATAAAAAGTTTATGGACTCCAACACATTTTCTCCGTCATTCTCCTCCGCTCTTTGATCCGGCTGGGTATCCCAACTGTCCTTTACCCCAAAGAATCGTCTTATATCAACCTTAATTAAATGAAGAGATATCACAATAAAAACAGTTGATATTTAGTTGGAGAAAAAAAAACACTTTTCCAGCATGCTATTTTACTATATAAAATTAAAACTACATATGGTGTTCATAAAATGATACATCCATGTTTTTGTTTAGATTAATCTGAGTATTTAATTCGGGAGAAGTCCATGTCTTAAAATCCATTCATTTATAAAAAGGAAAAAGTAAGAAGAACAATTTCAAAAGGACTGCATCTGTTGGTTGTTTGCTCAAAAAGTAAAAGTTTCATACATGCATGTATTTAGGTCTATTTTGGCCAACAGTTGGCCAAAATGCTGTGAAGTGAACATTTGAAGAAGTTCCTGTACCTGTTTCCTTCTCCGCTTTTCCTTCACCAAACCATTGATGTGTCCATTGTGCTTGTCTGAGACACACAGAGAATATACATCGTTCTCATCTGTGAAGCAGTAAGTATTTAATGTAGAGTTGTGAAGCCCATACCAACCTTTCCCTGGTGTGTCTGCTGTTCTCTGGTCTCTTAGGGACTCAGCTGATTCTTGCGGTTTTCTTTTCCTGCTCCAACTCCTCTCTGTGTGTCTCAGCACCTGACTCAGAGTTGTGTTCCTGATCACATTGGGTCTGTAGAGGATCCTCTGTTCACATTCCGGGCAGCTGAGGTCCCTCTGCTCCGCGCCCCAGTGGCCCTCGATACAGTCCATGCAGAAGTTGTGTCCACAAGGGATGGTTGCAGGATTCCTGAGAAGGTTCCTGCAGATCCGACAGGAGAGGTGGTTAATTATGATAGGAATTTGAAGCTCTGCCATGTTTGTGTGGAGGAAAAACGGCGGGCTTTGTTACACAAGCTTTGTTTCGTTTCCTGCAAAATGACTCAGAGTTGTAGTGCTTTTGATTCGTCCATTTCAAAGTACAAAAGGGCGTTACAGAGTTATTTGAAAAAGGAAGAGCTATAAAATGAGGTAGATTAAATATTCTCTAACAGACCTCTGAGGCCTTCACAGAGCAGCTTTATGTGACTCCTAAAGGCAACTGGTTGCATAAAAGATTGTGTTTCAGACAAAAAGGGTCTGCATACAATTTAAGGTCACACTTTGTGTTATATCTGCATTAGTTTTTTTTCCTCTTCATAATTATACACTGCTTTTTTCGATCACATTAAATTCAAAAGAAATCCATTAAGGTTTGTGATGTTAACTAAATAAAAGGGGCTTGTGTGATTGCTTTACCAAATATATATATATATATATATATATATATATATATATATATATATATATNCATATAGGCAGCTGCACAGGGTGCCCATATGTAACTCATGTAATCAGTGTAAAGTTGCAATTTCAATTAAATAAACTATTCAGTTCAAGATTGAATAACTTTAAACTCAGTTTAAAACACTGAGCTACACTAAGATAAACAGTTTATGGACTTATAAGGGTAGCAACCTTCACCACATTAGCTCCGTCATTCTCCTCCGCTCTTTGATCCGGCTGGGTATCCAAACTGTCCTTTACCCATAAGAATCGTCTTATATCAACCTTAATTAATTGAAGAGATACCACAATAAAAACAGTTGATATTTAGTTGGAGAAAAAAAAACACTTTTCCAGCATGCTACATCAAATTAAAACTACATATGGTGTTCATAAAATGATACATCCATGTTTTTGTTTAGATTAATCTGAGTATTTAATTCGGGAGAAGTCCATGTCTTAAAATCCATTCATTTATAAAGAGGAGTAAGTAAGAAGAACAATTTAAAAAGGACTGAATCTGTCGTGTGTTTGCTTGTATCTAGTCCTTTGTTTCAACATCCTGTACCTGTTTCCTTCTCGGCTCGTCCTTCACCAAACCACTGATGTGTCCATTGTGCTTGTCTGAGACACACAGAGCACATATGATCTTCTCATCTCTGAAGTAGTAAATATTTAATGTAGAGTTGTGAAGCCCATACTAACCTTTCCCTGGTGTGTCTGCTGTTCTCTGGTCTCTCAGGGACTCAGCTGATTCTTGCGATTTTCTTTTCCTGCTCGAACTCCTCTTTGTGTCTCTCAGCATATCAGTCAGAGTTGTGTTCTTGATCAAATTGGGTCTGGAGGGAAAGATCTTTCCACATTCTGGGCAGCTGAGGTCCCTCTGCCCCTCGCCCCAGTGGCCCTTGATACAGCCCATGCAGAAGTTGTGTCCACAAAGGATGGTTGCAGGATTCTCGAAGAGTTTCCCGCAGATCCGACAGGAGAGGTGGTTAATTCGGACAGGAATGTGAAGCTCTGCCATGTTTGTCTGGAGGAAAAACGGCGGGCTTTGTTACACAAGCTTTGTTTCGTTTCCTGCAAAATGACTCAGAGTTGTAGTGCTTTTGATTCGCCCATTTCAAAGTGGAGAAAGGGCGTTACATTTCCAAAAGGAAGAGCTATAAAATTAGGTGGATTTCATGTTCTCTAACAGAACCCTGAGGCCTTCACAGAGCAGCTTTATGTGACTCCTGAAGGAAACCAGTTGCATAAAAGAATGTGTTTTAAGACAAAAAGGGTCTTCACACTTTTTGTTATATCTCCATTTGTTGGATATATTCCAATTCTCCATGAAAATATCATCTTCCCAGAGACAACTTTGACATTAACTGGAGGCAATGGAATCAGTGACATCTGAAACCTTAGAATGGGAACTATCAACCAGCTCATCTATAACATTGCTTTTGATAAGTAAATCAGTGGAAAAAGCCTAGGTCTAGCCCAAATCACCACAACAGAAGCCAGAACAGGTAGCTATACTACCACTTTTAAGGATTTTTAACACTGTAATGTGTTGTTTATAAAATAAATAGTTTAAACCAGTTGTTTACATTCTCTGTTTAAAAAAAGAGAATGTATTGTGATTCAATGTGATTCCAAAAAAGTAAAAAAAAACAAAGGCCTTGTTATGGCTTAGAAAACACGTTTTCATTCATTCATTTTTATTTATTTATTTTTTACATTTTCCTGCTTGCTAGTTGATTCAATTTAAGAAAATATGCACCAATTCTTATAAATAGAAAGCAATCTATTTGCATGGAACCATTCATACAGAAGGCAATCCAAAGTGTTTTATTTCATAGCAAAGCGAGAATGGAAAGGAAATAATAAAGCATAAATTGCATGCAAAATAAAGAATTGAAAATACACTGAATAAGAGCAAGTTCTAACCTTATATTAAACTGATGTTTAATTTCAAATTCACATCCACTAAAATCCAGTTCTCTGCTTCAAAATGGTAAACAGTTCATCAGTCAGATTTTTTGACTTGAAGTAACTGTAAACAAAACATTTTATTACAATTCAAACACACAGCTTTTTTGTTTGTTGTTGTTTTGTTTTTACCAAATTTTATAGACAAATAGCAGGGCAAAAATGAATTTAAAAATATCAGCCCTTGTTCTAACTTTTACGTGTCTTTTACTTGCTGAGTGGTTTGAATAGGTTATGGCCTTTTTTACATTTACAATTTCTGATCAACAGAGAATTATACCACAGATAAACTAATAAAATTTAAGATTATGTTTGTAAATTATGTTTCATTTATACATTTAGATAATATATCTAAACCAGACCTGCCTTATAAGACAATATAATTGCCCATATTGTTATTTGGGGACTTTAATGTCATTAATCTTTTTATTTTTTGGAAAATATTTTTTTGTATTCAATAATTCACCAGTACAACAAAGCACTTTACCTAAACAATAATAATAATAATAATAATAATACATTTTATTTGTAATGCACTTTACATTTAAGAAAATATCTCAAATTGTAAAATGTTAAAAGTCATATGTCCTGCTAAAAAGAAATGTTTTTAATCCTTTTTTAAAAGTCTGAATAGTCTGTGGTTCCCTTAGATGATCAGGGAGGGCATTCCAGGTCCGAGGAGCGGCAGAGCAGAAGGCACGATCGCCCATGGTGTTTAGCTTAGTCTTGTAGAGGAGGCGGCAGTTTGAGTGTTTTGAGTGGCGAGATCGTGTTGTAGTGAGAGGGGTGAGCAGTTCCTTCAGGTATAGTGGGGCATTTCCGTAGATGCACTAGTGGGTGAGAGTTTAGACCTTGTATTCAATCCTTGCAGAAACAGGAAGCCAGTGAAGGGAGTGGGGAATGGGTGTGATGTGGTCGTACTTCCGGACTCTCATCAGGATCATTGCAGCACTGTTCTGAATCCACTGCAGTTTCTGCAGACTCTTCTTAGTAATCCCGATGAGAAGTGCATTACAGTAGTCCAGCATGGAGGAGACAAAGGCAATGACCAGTTTTTCTGCATCAGCCAAGGTGAGTGTAGAACAGAGTTTTGAATTATTTCTTGGATGATAGGAGATTTTGCAGATGTGTTTGACATGGGGTTCAAAGGTTAGTTGTGGATCAGATCTAACATCGAGATTGGTGACTGTTGTGGAGAAGGGAATGTCCTGACAAGAGATGGTTATACCGGTAATGGAGGATGACTGGACTTTGTGTGATGTGCCAACAAGGATTGCCTCGGTTTTGGAGCTGTTCAACTGGAGAAAATTGTGTTTCATCCACGTCTTTATCTCCTCCAGGCAGGCAGTGAATTTTGAAGATGATGATGCTGTTGTTGAAGCTGCAGTAGGATGAGATTTTATGTACAGTTGTGTATCATCAGCGTACAAGTGAAATGAGACTCCATGATGGCTGATGGCATGACCGAGGGGAAGGATGTAGATGATGAAAAGGATGGGCCCTAGTACTGATCCCTGGGGGACTCCGCAGGTGACTTTATGTTGCTGGGAACTTGTATTGCCAATTGAGATGTACTTTGTTCTGTCAGTGAGGTATGATTGAAACCAGTTCAGAGCAGTGTCAGAGAGTCCAGTGGTTTTGTGTAGCCGGTTGAGAAAAATTTGATGTTCCACAGTGTCAAAAGCAGCAGAGGAGGGAAGGTGATCTTTTATCTGCTGCCATTCGTAGGTCGTTTGCGACTCTAACCAGGGCTGTTTCGGTACTATGACCAGAGCGAAAACCAGACTGGAATTTCTCAAAAAGATTGTTTTGTTTGAGTTGGTCCTGGAGATGGGTGGCTGTTACGTCCACAAGGCCACAACATATTTGAGGACACAGACAAAACTGAGGGTACAAAATAATTGATTTATTCTGTAGTTCACTCTCTTTCAATAGAAACCCTCTTTCTCATGGCAGCTGTGGGGATGTTCTGTAGTGAAAAAAAACAGAAAAAACAGAATTAAATATCCTCAGCTTCTGTGTCCAAAGAAAGGAAAAATGAAAAAAGAACAAAACAAAGTATTAACAGAAAGTTGGACCTGGTGAGCCGATCAAAAAAAAAAAAAACAGTACAGCAGGGGGCCAACCCAATACAGGGCCGTCGAAGCCCCTACTGGTACTGGACTACAAAAATAACTACTATACAAAATAAAGAATCGAAAACATGACAACCGGTCCCACCAGGCCAAAATCAAAACGAAAACAGCTTCCAAGCAAAGGCTAACAAAAATACCGCATGGCAGGTCGGAGGTGGTGGCTGTGGCCTACAGCAGCTGGAGAAAGGAGCGCCTTCTCCTTGGTGGAGATGAATGAGTGAGTAAAGGACGGCCTCCAAGATTAAAACCCAACCCCTTTATAGGCCGTCCAACAGCCACTAATTTACCCGGAAAAAAAGCAACTCCAAAACATACGAAATGAAAAGTTGTTAAACTAAAAGTCAATGTTTAACTATATAGAAAAATTACTTTAAAATAATTGTGCCCAAAGCACATAACAGTGGCAACAACAAAACCTGTCTTACAACACTGAGGAGCTAAAACATCTCAAAAAGCAAAATCTTATTCCCTGATGGAAAAAAAATAATGGACAGATGAGGAATGTGATCAAATATATCTATTAGTATGGAAATGATAATTAAACCATTTCTTTCCTGTGACACTAGCAGAGGAAATTTGTCATAGGGATCACTGCTTTACTTTAATGCATGATTCTGCATGACTGAGGCTAGTCCCTCACACCTTACTGTGTTCTATTAAACAAAACTACAATAAAATTAGATGTGCTTCTATAGTGCAAAACAGCTTCAAGTTTAATTTAACTGCTCAACATTTCCAAATAAAACTTCTTTTTTTGGTGTTATACTGAAGGAAGATATTCAGATTTGTCAACCTGATGTTTCATGAGGGTCAGATGGAATTCCTGCTATCCTGAAATTGATTTTAAATACTCATGCTGTAAATAGATTACATTTTGAAAAAATAAAATAAACTCAATTAACAAGCTGTAACTGAGCTCAGTGATCTCCACTCAACCAGCACTTTATTAATTCTTGCTAGAATAGTTTATAGAAGAAGTGACAGAGTAGATATTCCATCTCTGCTCTGCTCAACTGAGGAAAAGGTTGTTTTAATGCAATCAGATAACAGTGCGGCCTTTGAGAGTCATTCTCCTGCTTCTCTCTCTCTCTCAAAGACTTAACAGGTTTGGCCATAACAAGGCCTTTAGCTGTGGAAAACAAAACCACCCAGAAAACAACACACAAATAAATGAATAAAAAAAAAAAAAAACAGAACAAAGAACATACAGAAAATACAGAAAAAAGGAAAGTAACAATAGTCAGTGACATTATTCTATTTTGTTCAGGATTTTTTCATGTTTTTGTTTTGACCAAGTTCAACAGCAGCACAAAGTACAAGGTGCAAACAAGCAATAGCATTTACAAAACAGATCAAATATAAAAATACAACATTTAGACATTACAGGTGCAAGATAAGATAAAAAAATGCAGATCATTCCAACTGTCGGTCAGAGTAGAACAGAATCATTTTTCATTTAAAATGCTTTTGATTCTGTGCATTAAAGAACACAATGTAAAAAAAATCAAGTTTACATAACTTTATTCTTTTTAATTGTTTGGGTCCTTTAAATTAGACCATTTCTCAGAGTCATCAGGGAGCATAAACAAAACCATCTATCATGAAGCTACAGGTCAGGTCACACTTAGCCTAGGTGATCAGTCTCTGTTAAAATCAGCTGTGTCATTTTAAATCACAGATCCTGATGCAGCATTTCTCATCCAGCCAGAATCCTGGATACAGCGGCTCTGTGAAATTGGCCTCCAGTTTGTACAGAAATGTCATGCTGTCCGACACCTCAAAGAAAGACAGACTTCCCTCCTTAAATTCTAGATAAACACCTATTTTTTTACTGCTGGGCCTTTGTTTGAGGAGGATGCTCTCTGATTTGTGGCTCACAGAGTAGGACTTAGAGAGATCTAGACTCCAGGACTTTTCGTTGGCTCCAAAAGCTGACTTTTTTGTACTACTTTTCCTATCCAACCCTTTGTAAGCAAGAGCGATCTCTGCCTTGCCTCCCTTGACCTCCACCTCATAGTAGCAGCGCTCAGCCTGTAGACCCTCCCTGCACAGCACCTGGCGTCGACTGTTGAACCTCTCTGGAAAACATGCAGATGGGATTTGGCACCCATGGGGGGACAGCTTCACCTCTTTGTCATCATCAGAGATGATCAGGTCCTTATGAGCCGTTGCAGGGTCCAGAGAGAGCTCACAGGCATCTGGGTAATGAAAGAGAGGAAAATTATAAAGTTTCAGGGACAGAAAGTCAGGGGAGCACATTGAGATCTGAGGATGAACTCACACTGTAGAAAATCTTCTCTGGTTTTAGGCTCCATGTTCTTCTTACCCATGTTGCCTTCAGAGAGACCTTTGAGGAGGCATTGCACAACATGATTATTGGCTGAATGCTGCCCTCTTGTGTTGAACAGTACATTGCAAAAAGAAAACAGGAAAGTTTACAAACCAGCACTAGATTGATGTTTCTGCTGCTGATCCTCTGCATCCCTCTTTTCCACTGATTCCTCTTGATCATTAGTGCCTTTGACAGAGAAACAGTGATCAGTTTGTCAAATACATGGATTTTACATATATATATATTCTATATTAACAGCACATACAAGTTTGAAAGATTAAGGGAAGTTGTTGGTCACAGAAGTCTCCCAGCTTCTCTCCAAGCTGATCTATTGCTCTCTTTGTAACTTTAAAAGAGAAAAGTGGATCCTTTGCTCCCTCGCTGAAGGAAAGAAGGTCATTCTCACATATGCTTTGCATGTTGATCCATTCCTGGGGGAAGGAACAGGTTTCAATGCAGAGGGAGGTTTCGACAACAACACAGGTGAATGTCACACCAATGTAAATGACTTTACCTGCAGAAAAAGTACGCTGTTTTCACTCTCTGCAAGGCGATCAAGCTCAGCATCCATCTTTTTAATTTCCTCCATCTTTGTCTCAAGGTTTTGAAGCGTGATGTCGATCTGATCTTCCACTGTCTTTGCTTGAGTTTCAATCATCTCCCTCATAGACATGCAATGTCTCTGAAGATGATCAATGGCTCTAACTATGATCGTTTCACAGTCCTCCATCATTTTGTTGGCCTCCTTCTGTTTTAAACCCAGCAGAACAGGATTAACCTCCCTTATAAGCTGGGAGCGTGCAAACACAATGAACCGACAGGGTTTCCTCACCTCAATTTGATCAAACGTCTTCTTCATATTCTCCTGCTGCTTCTGCTGCTCCTGAAGTCTCTCCCTCAGCCTTGTTTGCATGGTCCTCAGCTCCTCCTTGGAACATACAGAATAAGTAAGCATTTTATTTACACAGAAAAAACTTTTTTTCTACTGTATAATGGTTTCTTTTTAAAAATCCATCCATCCATTTTTTAACACGCTTACTCCCAAGTCTGAGAGAGTCCACGCATGCTCAGGGAGAACATGCAAACTCCATGCAAAAATCAAACCCAGAACCTTCTTGCTGCAAGGCAGCAGTGCTACCCACTACTCCACGGAGCAGCCCCTTTCAAAAAAATCAGTTTGCATATTCATTGAAGGATGTTTCCATTGGTGCCGTTTGCATTTATTTATTTTGTCCTTTTTTGCTAAAACAAGGCTATATAGGTAGCTGCCCAGGACGCCATGTCAAAAATAGCACCTACTTATCTAACCAGCTGTACCCGGAGCACATTTTCTTTTCTTTTGATATTTGTCTATTCAGTGATAGAGCAGGAAGAAGACAATCTCAGCTTTTTATAGCTGGGTGTGTTTTCTATCAATCACACTGTTGCCATGTGGAGAATTTGCCTGCTTGTTGTGTTTAACATGCAAATATAGCCGGCGAGACAAACTGACATTTCTATTATACACCAAAAGGGAAATCCAGCTCCACCTTAAATGAATTGCTTGAGTTGATGACAAGTAATTGAATTAAGTTTGCCCAACTTAATTAATTTAAGGTTTTAAACTTATGAACTTCATAAACTAAGTTGGATCAGCTGTCCTAAAGATGTCCTGAAATAAAAGTTATTTCTTTAGAGTACATTTTTAAAATATCTATAGGAGTTTATTCTGTTAGCAATAAACAATAATAACTCTCTGATCTGTCTCTGTAATCTTGGTTAATAGCTGCATCAAATTGCTGTAAGTTTACAGTAACAGTCTCTTTGATTATAGAAATATTTACCAGAAACCTTAAGTGAACAGAAAAGTTTAAGTGAACATTTAAGAAGGCTCATACTAAGGATCAAGTCCTTTGTTTTCATATCCTGTACCTGTTTCCTTCTCCGCTCTTCCTTCACCAAACCAATGATGTGTCCATTGTGCTTGTCTGAGGCACACAGAGCACATATGATCTTCTCATCTGTGATGCAATAATTATCCTGTGAAATTTTGTGAAGCCAACACAAACCATTCCCTAAAGTGTCTGCTGTGCTCTGGTCTCTCAGGGACTCAGCTGATTCTTGCGATTTTCTTTTCCTGCTCATACTCCTCTCTGTGTCTCTCAGCACATCAGTCAGAGTTGTGTTCCTGATCAAATTGGGTCTGGAGGGAAAGATCTTTCCACATTCCGGGCAGCTAAGGTCCCTCTGCCCCTCGTCCCAGTGGCCCTCGATACAACCTATGCAGAAGTTGTGTCCACAAGGGATGGTTGCAGGATTCCTGAGAAGGTTCCTGCAGATCCGACAGGAGAGGTAATTAATTCTGACAGGAATGTGAAGCTCTGCCATGTTTGTGTGGAGGAAAAAAGGGCGGGCTTTGTTACACAAGCTTTGTTTCGTTTCCTGCAAAATGACTCAGAGTTGTAGTGCTTTTGATTCGTCCATTTCAAAGTGGAGAAAGGCGTGACTAAATTATTTGAATTCAATTCAATTTATTTATATAGCGCCAATTCACAACACGTCGTCTCAAGGTACATTACAGTTCACCAGATCATACAGTTTAATTGATTCAAAGTTTTCTATCTAAGGAAAACCAGTTGATTGCATCGACTTATTGACTTGAATGCAATTCCTCACAATCAATTCCAAAAAGAAGAGCTATAAAATGAGGTGGATTTAATGCTCTCTAATAGACCTCTGAGGCCTTCACAGAGCAGCTTTATGTGACTCCTGAAGGCAACTTGTTGCATAAAAGAATATTTCAGAGAAAAAGGGCCCACATACAAATGTAGGTCACACTTTTTTTCATTTGTATGTTTTCCTTTCTTTTTCATAATTATGCAATACTTTGTGTTGATCTGCCAAATTAAATCCAAAGGAAATCCATTAAGGTTTGTGATGTTGACAAAAGATGAGCTGTTGTCATTGCTTTACCAGCAAAAAAAAGAAAATATTTTTCAGAGTAGCCAAAAGCTGACATAAAAGTAGTTATGCTGCTATAGGCTTAGACTACTGGAGGACATGGGGATCCCTTTTTTCCACATTCTGCTTCATTCTATCTCTATTCTGCAATATTTGTTAGTTAAATCTGTAACATTATGCTGTCTATGCTTTTTCTCATAATAGTTTCATCTGGTCTGTTCCTGTGTGGCTGTGTCTACATCCTGGATACAAATATCAGCTTTGTTGCTGCAATCAAAACTTTGTATATTAATGTTGGAGCTTGTCCGGTCTTTCAGTGTAGTTATGGTTTTCTGAACTGGATGTGCTCCCTTCATCCTCTGACATGGGAGCTGGCTCGGAGATCGTCTGCCTGGCTGTGTGTTTCCTGGACGAGGCCGCCTGTGGAGATGGTTGACAGTTACGTTTTGTATCTCTTCTTCTCTGTATGTCTGCTTCTGTCTCCTTGAACCCCAGTCGGCCACGGCAGATTGGTGCTCACACTGAGCTTGGTTCTGCTGGAGGTTCCTTCTTGTTAAAAGGGAGTTTTCCTCTCCACTGTCGCTACAAGCCTGCTTNGCTCCTGAACCCATCCATTCATGAACTGCACATGAGACTACAAGGACTTGTAGCTTGGGAACTGTTTGAAGTATAGGCGCTCACTCATCGGTGCTCCACTCATTGTTTGGAACTTCATATGGATCCAAATTATTAATAATGCTGATTTTGTCAACATACCGGTCCAAGGCTTCTTTATTTAATGTGTCCCGGTAAATTCCAGACCCTTTTCTGGATTTGAACATATTTTCCCTCTACTTCCACGTCTCTTCGTTCAACAACAACGTTGTATCAGAGCTATGCTTATGTTCGCGTAGCCATCAACGCGAACATAAATGCAGTGTGAATGCTGTACTCTAAACTATAAGCTGCAAGGTGAAACTGGCAGACACAAACTGAAATTTAAAGCAAAAGCTGCTGTTGCAAACTGCGGGACTAGTTAAAGTCAGAAAAATGAAAAGAGCAAAACAATAAGTGGGAATGCTTAAGCAGAATGATATAAAAGGGTCATAATAAACATAAATAGATATAGCATATAGGAGGCTCATCTAGTAGTTTCCATATTCCCATTGTGAGTCTTTTCCACAGAAATAACAAGTGTATTTTGCAGTAGTGTACATAAAGTTATGTGTTCCTGTTATTATTGCAGAGCATGGCACCTGGCATCTTTTTTTCCTCAGACACTCTTATATCCCAATGCTGGTTTGTGTTCTTTTCTTTGTTCCTTCTCCTGCAAATGCCTGTAGTTAAATTCCTCTACAAGCTCCAGCATGAACACCTGATGACTTTCTTTTGCCTCTTTATGTACTGTCTGAAAAATATTTGCATTTATGCCAGCCATGCGAAGCAGGGTGTGAGACACCCAGACGCCATCTCTATGTTCCCTAATGCAGTGAATAGTTGGGGAATTTCTGATCCATGATAATATCACCTCGTTCGAAATGGTTGTAATCATCAACGTTGTTTTTGTTTTTGTTAGCTCAGAATTTCTAATCCTCATTTGCATCATAGGTACAGTATGTTCCTTTATGGCCATCGACTCTTACAGAAGGACGCATTGGAGTCATCAGATAGGTGTTTTGTGGTCATGTTTTTGTTACTTTGTGGGAACAGGTTTTGAGAAAAATTTATTTCAGTTCAATTCAATTCAATTGAATTCAATTCAGTTATACTGTATTAAAAACGGTAATTCAATTTTGCTACAGCCTGTCTAAGAACACCAAAACACACAGAAGGGCATTACTCTTCCTCTTCCATAACAGCTGGAGCTCAGTGAGATTGGATGGAGAGCGTTTGTGAACATCAGTTTTCAGTTCTTTCCACAGATTCTTGATTGGATTCTGGTCTGGCCTTTGACTAGGCAATCAACTGGATATGTTTATTTGTGAATCGTTCCATTGTAGATTTTGCTTTTGGTTTTGGATAATCATCTTGTTGGAAGATAAATCTCCATCCCAGTCTCAGGTCTTCTGTAGACTCCAACAGCTCTTCTTCCACAATGCTCCTTTATTTGGCTCCATCCATCTTCCCATCAATTTTAGCCATCTTCCCCTGTCCCTGCTAAAGAAAAGCAGGTCCAAACCATGATGCTGCCACCACCATGCTTGACAAGGGGGAATGTGTGTTCACAGTGAAGAGCTGTGTTACTTTGACACCAAACATAACATTTTGCATTGTTGCCACAAAGTTGGATTTTGGTTTAATCTGACCAGAGCAACTTCTTCCACATGTTTGCTGTGTCTGCCAGGTGGCCTGTGGCAAAATTGAAACCAGACTTTTTATGGGTATCTTTAAGAAATCGCTTTCTCCCATAATGTCCAGATTTGTGCAGCAGACAATTGATTGCTGTTCCATGGACAGAGAGTCCCACCTCTGCTGTAGATCTCTGCAGTTCATCCAGAGTGATCGTGGGTCTCTTAACTGCATCATTGATCAGTCGTCTCCATGTTTGAGCTAAGGTTTAGAGGGATGGCCAAGTCTGATACTTATTGTATTTCAATGTTAGTGCTTGCACAGAGCTCCTTAGGATGTTTAAAGCTTGGGAAATCTTTTTGTATCCAAATCTGACTTTAAACCTCTCCACAACAGAATCTCTGAGCTGCCTGGTGTTTTCCTTGTTCTTAATGATTCTCTCAGCTTCTGTCCAAGATGGCTGCTACTGTGTCTGCCTGAGAGTTTGTCAAGATTCAATCTAGCAAATATCTGCGAAATCCCATTTAGTGCATCAACTTGCTATCTACAATTAAACTAAGTGGATTTTGAAGCAACCTGGTAAACAAATTTCATTAAAAACCTGCTGGAATAACATCTTTTGTGGACTGCTTGAAGAGAGGACCCAAGTAGGCCCGAGTATCCACCAGTTTTCTGCGACCACGCCATCCTGAGATTTGACTAACTGATCATAAAGCCCAACATTGACTAGACTACATGTTCAATGAGTCATTCAATTTTTTGACTTAAAGGTCTTAGCTCATTTAAACATCTGCAGCTTGAGGAACAAAACTGGCGACATAACTCACATTTGGCAGGTAAATAATATTCAAATTCTAGCCTTGTCTGAAACACACCTTGATTCGTCTTTTGCAGTCACAGAATTAATGGTTTTTGGTTACATATTATTTAGAAGAGATAGAAACAAAAATGGAGGTGGCGTAGCATTTTATATCAGAGACAACATTCCAGTGAAAGTGAGAAATGATCTCATGTTGAAAAGTATAAAAGCGATATGGGTACAAGTTCATTTACCACACTTAAGACCTATACTAGTGGGTTGCTTATACAGGCCTCCGAATGCCAACTCTCAATATCTTGATGAGATTTGTAATATGTTAGATGCAGCCTGCAATGAAAACAAAGAAATATTGATTTTAGGGGACTTAAACATAGATTGGTTTTCACCAAATTGCCCACTGCAAAAAAAAACTTAGCTCTATGTCTGCATTATGTGGCCTTAAACAGAACATAACTCAGCCAACTAGAGTCTGCACGACTACACTGGGTAAATCTTCTACCTGTTTAGACCATATATTTACAAATGTTTCAGACCAGTGCTCAAAGGCAGTTTCAGCATCAATTGGTTGTAGTCACCGTAACATTATAGGGGTCACAAGGAAAACAAAATTACCTAAAGGTGGCAGAAGAGTGTTTAACGAGGAAGTTATGTCCCCTAAAAAGGCCGTTGTGCCTCCGGGCTTCCCCACCGGTTCTTTCCCTGGGAGCAAGTTATTTACTACTCTTAACTCAAACTGGGTAAAACCATATAAAAAAGGACTATAAAATAGGAGTAAAAAAGTAACAGAGTTTATTCCAGATCAGGTCGTTACAGGACAGAGGAAATGCTTGGAGCTGCACAGCTGTGGGCTCAGAAATCACGTCCGCAAGCGTCCGGCAAAGATTGAGCCCCGAACAAGGTCATCTCCTGCTTCTTATAGCTCATGACTCTATGTGTTGCATCATGTGGATGTTTAGCTGTCCGTATCAGAAACTGACACGCCATCCATGCCCAAGGGTTACAGATAGCTCTCCTCTATCAGTCAGGCTCCAAGATGTGCCCATATCCTGTGTATCTTTAAAAGACAAGAAGGCTGTACTATTTAGACGTCTTACTTACACAAAGGGACATCCACAGTGTGAAGGAAGGCCTTCTACTCTCTCTATCTGGCTAATAAAGTAACAATGCACATGATGTATAAAGAATAAACCTAACAGAAGAAATCCTTCAGCTCGGATGGTTAAAAACAAATTATTCATCAAACCTTCGCAGCCTGTCATGTTCTTTCAACCCCACCCTCCCTTACTTTCAAGTGCTTAACTCCTCCCACCTTCTCCTCCTCATTCTACCCCCTAAGCCTACCACCCCATTACCCTCTTCATTCCATCCTTCTAATTACTACCTTCATCTGCTTTCTACTATTCCCTTTGTCAGTGTTTCCATCTGGGGGTGGGAGGTCCTAAGTGGGCTCAGGGTAGGGTAGCCATTTCTTGAAGACTGCACCTCTACCTTTAGTATCCCAAGCCTTTAAGTATATCTCTGTTGAGGGTTTTATCCGGTAGCAGCAGATTTAACCTACGTGACAAAGATGAGCGGAGTTTCACAGTTTTCTTATTTTATTAATAACACAGAGTTGAACTTAAACATGGCTTCTCCCTATTCACGCCCGAGCCGAACTGCCCGTCTTGCGTGCTTACATCACACGTCTTATCACATACAAGTGATTGATTGGCTGAACCTACACAACATTCCCTGTCAAAATAAGAGCGTCACATATTAACATTTAACATCCCCACTCACTCTTATTCCATAACATAACATAGAAAACAAAATGACATAGAAAACAACTCATTAGATCTGAAAATAGAACTCATTACATCCCATTACCAAACGTGTGTTGCAAAGTTTCTCAACTTCAGCTTAGTAGCTGGCTTGGTCATAACATCAGCAATCATTTGCTCTGTAGGACAATACTCCAAAATAAACCTTCCATTGTTTACATTTTCCCTGATGAAGTGGTACTTAATGTCAATATGCTTACTTCTCTGTCTATTCACTGGATTCTTGGCCAATGCTATGGCGCCTTGGTTATCTTCGTACACCTTTGTCTGTGCATATTGATGATTGTCAACACCACTTAACAGTTGCTCTAAGTAAAGGCCTTCCTGTATGGCTGATGCTAAGGCCATATACTCTGCCTCAAACGATGATAAAGCCACTGTTGGTTTTTTTCTTGTTTTCCATGAAATCAGAGAGCTTCCCTCATTTAAACTAGTACAATA